GGTCAGGGGATCCTCCCACCTCAGCTTCACAAAGTGTTGGGATTACAGGCATGAGCCACTGCACCTGGCCAAAAGATATATTTTTTTTTTTTTTTGAGACGGAGTTTCGCTCTTGTTACCCAGGCTGGAGTGCAATGACTCGATCTCGGCTCACCGCAACCTCCGCCTCCTGGGTTCAGGCAATTCTCCTGCCTCAGCCTCCTGAGTAGCTGGGATTACAGGCACGCGCCACCATGCCCAGCTAATTTTTATTTTTAGTAGAGATGGGGTTTCACCATGTTGACCAGGATGGGCTTGATCTCTTGACCTCATGATCCACCCACCTCGGCCTCCCAAAGTGCTGGGATTACAGGCTTGAGCCACCGCGCCCGGCCACCAAAAGATATTTTTTAAGACCTAAATACATGGAAAAATATTTATTTATTTATTTATTTTATTTTGAGACAGAGTCTCCTTCTGTTGCCCAGGCTTGAGTGCAATGGCATGATCTTGACTCACTGCAACTTCCACCTCCCGGGTTCAAGCTATTCCTGTGCATCAGCCTCCCGAGTAGCTGGGATTACAGGCATGCACCACCACGCCTGGCTAATTTTTGTATTTTTTAGTGGAGACAATGTTTTACCATGTTGGCCAAGCTGGTCTCAAACTCTTACCCTCAAGTGATTCACCCACGTTGGCCTCCCAAAGTGCTGGGATTACAGGCATGAGCCACTGTGCCCAGCTGTGGAAAGACTTTCTGTGCTCATGGATTGGAAGACAATGTTGTTAAGATGGCAGTACTCTCCAAATTCATCTATGGAGTCAATGTAATCCCATTTAAAATCACAGCTGGCCGCTCAGGAGGCTGAGGCAGGAAGATCGCTTGAGGCCAGGAGTTCAAGACAAGTCTGGGAAACATAGTGAGACGATATCTCTACAACAATTGAAAAAACAAAAAACAAAACAAAACAAAAAAGCTTAGCCAGGTATGGTGATACACACCTGTAGTCCCAGCTCCTCGAAAGGCTGAGGCAGGAGGAACACTTGAGCCCAGGAGTTCAAGGCTGCAGTGAGCCGTGATCATGCCACTCCGCTCCAACCTGGGGGACAAAGTAAGACCTGACTCAAAAAAATGAAAACAAACAAACAAACAACCAAACAAACAAAAACACCCACCTGGTTTATTTTGCCGATTTTTTTTTTTTTTTTTGAGATGGAGTCTTACTCTGTCAATCTGCAGGCCTGAGTGCAGTGGTGTGATCTCAGCTCACTGCAACGTCTACCCGCCAGATTCAAGCGATTCTCATGTCTCAATCTCCCGAGTAGCAGGGATTACAGGCACCTGCCCAGGTAATTTTTGTATCTTTAGTAGAGACGAGGTTTCACTACTTTGGCCAGGATGGTCTCGAACTCCTGATCTTAAGTGATCCACCTGTCTCGGTCTCAAACTCCTGACCTCAAGTGATCCCAAAGTGCTGGGATTATAGGCATGAGCCATCACACCTGACCCTATTTTGCTGAATTTTGACAAGCTGATTCTAAAGTTTATGTGGAAATACAAGTCAGTGGAAAAAACAAACTCTGTTTCTCCTACTAGACTCCCTTTTTAATTTTTTCCCACTCCCACTCCCTCCGTTTCTCGTACTAGGCTCTCACAACACACTTCTGACACCAGGTGTGTGAGGATTTTCCCCCACACTCAAGCAAGCAATTAATTCTGCACCAGACACCAACTGAATATCCTTCAACTCAATTCAATTCTGAAGCTACCTGGAGATTATGTGAGATCCCCCAGGTTGAGGACTCAGGCCCAAAAACTGACCCCAACTTCCTATGCCAACTGCGAGCCTCACATTGTTTTACCTGTGCTCTAACCGGCTATAAGTCAGAGTTCCCACAGCCTCCTCCTTCGGCCGATTGATTTGATAGAAGGCTCGCAGAACTCAAAGCCGGGCACAGTGGCTCACACCTGTAATCCCAGCACTTTGGGAGGCATAGGTGGGTAGATCACCTGAGGTTAGGAGTTCAAGACCAGCCTGGCCAACATGATGAAACTGCATTTCTACTAAAAAATACAAAAATCAGCCAGGCATGGTGGTGGGCACCTGTAATCCCAGCTATTCAGGAGGTTGAGGCCAGAGAATCGCTTGAACCTGGGAGGCTGAGGTTTCAGTGAGCTGAGATCTCACTATTGCACTGTGGGAAACAAGAGCTAAACTCCATCTTTAAAAAATAAAAAAAAGAAAAAAAAAAAAAGAACTCAAGGAAACACTTACTTTTACTGGATTATAAAAGGATATTACAAGCCAGGCACAGTGGCTCACGCCTGTAATCCCAGCACTTTGGGCGACAGAGCAAGACTCCATCTAAAAAAAAATAATAATAATTCTGGCCAGGTGTGGCGGTTCATGCCTGTAATCCCACACCTCTGCTTTGTGAAGACCTTTCATTCTCCACACCCTACCTCCCTTTGGCTACGCTACAATGATTCTTCCTCCTCACCAAAACTGTCCCATTAGATCCTCCACCGTTTTACTCCTAGTCACTGAGTCACTTCACTTACATTCTTGGTCACTTGAACTCATTCCTCTAAGAATTCGTCCCTTGCCTATGTCAAACTCCACACTTCTGAAAACTTTCACCTCCCTAGCCCACCCCAGCCACCCGCTTCTGTAGTTGTATCCAGGGATTTTGCCATCATTTGAAACTGTCCTACCTTCAAAAGCACCTATTCAACATCCAGTCTCCATCACCATCCCTCATCTTTCCAACCTCATTCGGTTGTTCCGAATACACCAGTTATCTGGCTTCATCGGAGCCTCCAACCCTTTGGCAACTCCATGCTGTCCCAATTCCTCAGCCCCCTCTGGACATTCCATCCCCATCTCTCTTAGATTCTATAGTCCATTATTTCTCCTAACCTCCCTTGTGCCTTTGTCCTGCTGTTACATGCACCTGAAAAACCTCAATGCTTCCTGACTCTGATCAACTACTTTCTCTACTACACAAGTGACTGTTGCCACCGGAGAAAGTCCCACAACAGGGTAGATTAGCACTTCTGTAAATACATTGTCACCAAACTCAGCCAGGCTCTCAATCTTGTGCAACCTACTGTTTCTCTAGTTAGCTCACAACCCATTAGTGAGTCGAGAACCACTCTGAGCTGGGTGAAGTGGCTCACACCTGGGTGAAGTGGCACACATCCCAGCACTTTGAGAGGCTGAGTGATCCACTTTGAGTGGATCACTTGAGGCCAGGAGTTCAAGACCAGCCTGGCAAAAAATAGTGAAACCCCATTTCCATTAAAAATACAAAAAATTAGCTGGGCATGGTGGTGCCTGTCTGTAATCCCAGCTACTCATGAGGCTGAGGAATGAGAATCATTTGAACCTGGGAGAGGGAGGCTACGGTGAGCTGAGATCGCCCCACTGCACTCTAGCCCAGGCAACTAAGTGAGACTCTCTCTCAAAAAAAAAAAAAAAAAAGAAAAAGAAAAAGAAAAAAAAAGAACCACTCTGAAAAATGTCTCAGCTAATGTTTTATTTTTATTTTTGAGACAGGGACTTGATTTGTCACCCAGGCTGGGGTACAGTTGCACAATCTCAACTCACTGCAATCTCTGCTTCCCAGGCTCAAACAATCCTCCCACTTCAACCCACCAAGTAGCTGGGATCACAAGCATGTCCTGCTGTGCCCGGCTAATTTTTGTATTTTTTTATAGAGACAGTTTCCCCATGTTTTCACTCACCAGACTGCAAAGATATACACAGAGCAACAGGCAAAATCCTCAGGATGTTACATTAGTACTGGGGCAACTAGCCCTAGAAAAGCAGCAGCTCTGCCTAGCTTTAAAAAAGCTTCAAAAAGTAGGCCTCAAAGGGATTCAAGTAAATTCAAGCTGGGGGGGTGGGGGGAAAGTCGATACTATTTAAAGGGAGAAAACAAAATCCAGCAACCAACAATGTAAATTCACAATGTCTGGTATCCAGTGGGGACAAAAAAAAAAAAAAACAGGCCAATTTCTGGGAGAAAAAAAAACTCAGTTGATAGATCCTCAAATGACCAAATATTAAGGAACTAGCATCTAAGGATGCTAAGACAGCCATTATAAATATGCTTTTAAATAAATTGTAAATTCAGTGGTTCATGTGCAGGTTTCTTATCTAGGTAAACTCATGTCACTAGGGTTTATTGTACAGATTATTTCATCTCCCAGGTCTTAAGCCCAGTACCTATTATTTTTCCTGATCCTCTGCCTCCTCCTATCCTCACCCCAGTGTGTGTTGTTCCCTTCTGTGTGTCCATATGTTCTCATAATTTAGCTCCCACTTGTAAGTGAGAACATGCGGTATTTGGTTTTCTGTTCTTGCATTCGTTTGCTAAGGATAATAGCCTCCAGCTCCATTCACGTTCCTGAAAAGGACATGGCCTCATTCTTTTTTACGACTGGATAGTACTTCATGGTATATCTGTATCACATTTTCTACCATTGATGGGTATCTTGGGTTGATTCCATGTCTGTTATTGTGAATAGTACTGCAATAAACTTATGTGTGCATGTGTCTTTACGAAAGAACGATCTCTACTCCTTTGGGTATCTACCTAGTAATGGGATTGTTGGGTCAAATGGTAGTTCTGTTTTTAGGTCTTTGAGGAATTGCCACACTGCTTTCCACAATGGTTGAACTAATTTACTCTCACCAGCAGTGTATAAGATTTTCTTCCCAACCTTGCCGGCATCTTTTTTTTTCTTTGTTGTGTGTTTTTTTTTTTTTTAATAAAGATAGGGGTCTCATTATGTTGGTTGGTTTGGTCCTGAACTCTTGGCCTCAAGCAATCCTCCCATCTCACCCTACCAAAGTGCTAGGATTACAGGTGTGACCTACTGCACCTGGCCTATTTTTTTTTTCTTTTTAAATCTTTTTTATATTTTTTTGTTTCAGAAAGAATGGCCTATTTTTGACTTTTCAGTGAGCCATTCTGACTGGTGTGAGATGGCATCTCATTGTGGTTTTGATTTGAAAAACAGGAAATGCCTCATAAATTTGCATGTCATCCTTGCATAGGGGCCATGCTAACCTTGTCTGGATCATTTCAATTTTAGTGTATGTATTGCTGAAGGGAGCACCAAATATATTTTTATGACCAAGAAGATAGAGGAAAAACATGAGCATAAAGGGAAAAATGGAAGATTAAAAATGATCCAGATGGAATGTCTAGAGATGAAAAATACATCTAAAATGAAAAATATACTGAATGGAATAGCAGATTAGATGCTACAGAAGAAAAGATTAAGGAACCTTAATAAGACATCTAAAATGAAGCAGGGAAAGAAAAGACTGAGGCTGGGCACGGCGGCTCACGCCTAGAACCCTAGAACTTTGGAAGACTGAGGTGGATGCATCACCTGAGGTCAGGAGTTCGAGAGCAGCCTGGCCCACAGAATAAAACCCCGTCCCTACTAAAAATACAAAAATTAGCCAGCATGGTGGTATACCTGTAGTCCCAGCTACTTGGGAGGCTGAGGCATGAGAATCACTCGAACCTGGGAGACAGAAGTTGCAGTGAGCCAAGATTGTGCCACTGCACTCCAACGTGGGCGACAGAACAAGACTCAGTCTCAAAAAAGAAAAAACAAAAAACAAAAAAACAAAACAGAAAAGAAAAAGCCTGAAAAAAGTGAACAGGGCGTCAGTGATCTGAGGAACAATATCAAATGGTCCATCGTATAGGCAGACTGTGTGTCAGAAATAGAAGATGGAAGAGAACCCCAAAATTTGACAAAACAGTGGCCAAATATTTCTAAATTTTATTAAGACTATAACCATTTAGATTGAAAAAGTTTAATAAATCCCAAACAGAACAAAGGTAAGTTGAAAACCATACAAAACCAATCACTATATTTAAGAAGAGATACATTATATGATAAAAACAATAAATAGCTAAGGCAAGATTAATCAAAATTCAGTATAGTGGTTACCTCTGCAGAGAAGGATGGAGAACTCAAAGCTTTAAATGTACTAGTAAATTATTTTTTCTCCTTTTAAATTCATTATTTATAGAGACAAGGTCTCGCTGGTCTCAAACTCCTGGCCTCGAGTCATCCTCCACAGGATTCAGAATCTAGTAGAGAGTTCACGGGTCTTTTTTGTTTGGAGACGGAGTCTCACTCAGTCACCCAGGCTGGAGTGCAGTGGTGCAATCTTAGCTCACTGCAGCCTCCGCCTCCCAGGTTCAAGCGATTATTCGTCTCAGCCTCCCGAGTAGCTGAGATTAGAGGCACCCACCATCATGCCTGGCTAATTTTTGTACTTTTTGTAGAGATGGGACTTCACCATGTTGGCCAGGCTGGTCTCAAACCTCTAACCTCAAGTGATCCACCTGCCTCGGTCTCCCAAAGTGCTGGGATTACAGGCGTGAGCCACGGCGCCCGGCCCACTTTGTGCATTTCTGGTAACATCCCTCCTCCACTAGACTGTGACCTCCACAAGAGCAGGAGCCTGTTTGTCCATGGTTACAGTGCACATCATACACCCTTCATCACTCGGATGCTCTCCACATCCACTTCCTGGTGAAAATGCTAGATCAAAAACAGACCTCTCATCTTACATTCCAGCAAGAAGCAATTTGGTCTGCTGACCCTACCCACGAGGCTGTGTGTGAGCCAGGTGGGCTGGGGGACAGAGACCAGCCCCAGCCCAGTGAATCCAAGATGGCCTGCTCCGTGGAAGTGATCAGGTACCCTGGAAGAAACGAAAGAGACTGAGTACCCAAGACCTCAAACTGGGGCTCGTGAATGGTCATAAATGAGCCCCTTCTGCCCCTGTTGTTTTAATCATGTCCACTCCCCTCACTTGGGAGCTTGGATGGGGGCACCTGGATGTCCATCCCAGTTATACTGAGGTCACTAGTAACACAGATCGAGGTAGTGAAGTAGTGCAGGGTCAGGGTAGGGGTGGGAGGCCAGGGGCAGGCACAGCCAAGGCTGTGTGGCTTCCCCAGAGGCCCAGATAAGCTTGAGCCTGCAGAGGTCCAGCTGCTCTCCTTGGCAGCACTGGGCACATCCATAAATGTTTTCTATGAGCTTTCTGCTCTACAGAGGCAGGTTGCCTTCATGCACCTCTGATTCCTTACTGTCTATGCCAGTTGCCAGAAGATAGAGACATGTCCAGTGGTCTATGTCCAAGAAATGGGAGGTACAGCTAACCCCCATGAGTCCTTCGGGTCTGATGGAGGCACCTCCAAGGGAAGTCGTTCTTCTCTGACACATCGTTTAGTTATCTCCTTACTCCTCGCCATGGGTCTCCACAGCCTTGGTGCGTTCAGTATTGAAGGCTCCAAAAACATTTGCTGAATGAATGTAGAAGTTCAAGACTGCCTCTCCTCTGAGCAGTTGTGAGGTCCAGTGTTCTCTGCCTGGAATCCTCTTCCTTCTTCATTCACCTGTTTAGTTTATTTCAGAATTTGAGTGATAACTATGTGTTACACTCTTACTGGACCCAGGGGTTACCTCCTCCAGAAAGCCTTTCCGACGCTCCCATTTAGGGACTCCTCTTCCCCACGGCCACTGTACTGAGGTGGACCTCTGAGCCCCCAGATCAAGACAGTCTCTTGAACACAGAAACCAGCTCTGTTTCACCTTTCCGTGCTCGGCACACCAGCCTGGGTTCAGGAAACACCCATAGAAGGCACCGTCTTCTTAGGGAAGAGACCACCTCTGGTTGGGATTCTAGCTCTACGCTTGATAGCTTGGCCAAGATCCTTTCTCTTTATCAGTTTGCTGGAGTAAAATGGCCTGCTGAGTCTAGATATGAGATTCTGCGCCTGTCTTAGATCTTCCTTTCCTTCCTAGCCCTCAGTCACCTGGAAAACAGAGCCTGAAAACAAGAACTAGGAATTAGTGTTTTATTTGGAGAGGTGCAAACCCAAGACTTTGGAAATGAGAAAATGGAAGAAAGGCAGAATGGGAAGTAATGCGAGGTGATGTGTTAGCAGGCCAGGGACTGCTTCCTGACAAGCCTTGCGGAGGACACAGCAGTCGTGTCCACCAGCTACTTGGGAGGTCTCCCCATTGATGGTACTGTTTTGGAGAAGTGGTGCCATGCAACAATTTATGAACGGGAGAGGAAAAGGGGGAATTTATCTGCCTGAGTCTCACCTGTCTCCTACTAGTCATATTTCATCCCATAGATATTAACTCCCAGCCTGACACCATGGCTTATGCCTGTAGTCCCAGCATTTTGGGAGGCTGAGGCAGGTAGATCACTTGAGGCCGCGAGTTTGAGATCAGCCTGGCCAACATGGTGAAATCCCATCTCTACAAAAAATACAAAAATAAACCAGGTATGGTGGCACGTGCCTGTAATCCCAGCTACTCGGGAGGCTGAGGCAGAAGAATCACTTGAACCTGGGAGGCAGAGGTTGCAGTGAGCTGAGATCGCACCACTGCACTCCACCCTGGGTGACACAGCAAGACTGTCTCAAATAAACAAGTTTCCACACACTTCTAAGTTTGCTAGCGGCAACTTGGGATCCAGATCCCATGCCCTGTGCTAGGCCACTCCATCCAAGTGTGTGAAGTGGTGGGAAGAAACAGAAACTCTGGGTACGTGGCCAGTGAGTACCAGGGAGAACCTGATGTTTTACATGTGCCATGTCCAATATAGTCCAAAACTGGTTTTTTCATTTTCTGGAAGAAGAAACAAGGCATAGTGATCCGAGACCTTTCCCAAGGTCACATGGCTATTCAGTGGCAAATTCAGGATTGGAAAATAATCTGGCTCTGGAAATTGGATTTTATGTAGCAGGCAAGGGAGTCACTAAAGGGTTTTAAGCTGGGGAGCAACAAGAAATAAAGAGCTTTTTTGTTTGTTTGTTTTGTTTGTGAGATGGAGTCTTGCTCTGTCATCCAGGCTGGAGTCAGTGGCGCGATCTTGGCTCACTGCAATCTCTGCCTCCTAGGTTCAAGCGATTCTCCTGCCTCAGCCTCCTGAGTAACCGGGATTACAGGTGTGAGCCGCTGCCCTCTGGTCAATAAAGAAGTTTTTTTTACCCCCCAGGACGGAGTTTCACTCTTGCTGCCCAGGGGAGAAGGTTAGACAGCAGAGGCAGGCAGGAGCTGTGCAGAAAAGCCAAAATGAGGAGACTGACCTAAGGACCAGGAGCAGGAGCACCGTCATGCTCCCCATTGTTGGCTTGTGGGTCTGAGGGTCCCAGCCGATGAGTCTTCTGGTGTTGCCTAAGATGGTCGGATCGCATGAACTCTCTGTTGCACTGATCACATTTATATGGTCGATATCTGGTGTGTACCCGAAAATGTCGTCTAAGCTCGTCAGAACGGAAGAAAGACCACTGACAACCTTCCCATTGGCACGAATAGGGCCTCTCACCTGGGAATGACAAGGGAGAAATGGAGTTTAGAATAGATTTAGGAAGGGGTCTGACTCTATGAGGCAGAGCAGTCCAAGCTGAGGATTCAAAAGGGAAGGTCCAGGGAACCAGGGAGGGGCAATGTACTCAGGAGTGCCAGCCCAGGTATCTTGGGACAGTCCTCCCGGATGGCAAGTCAGGGGGCCAGTCTAGCTTAGCTCCAAACTTGGAAGATGAAAGACTCATCCCAAACAATTACCCACCAGTGGTCCAGGACAAATGTAAAGCCCAGAGACTCCTCCATCCCCACCCCACCTGACACCTCCTTCACCTGTGTGCTTGCGCTGGTGGCTCACGAGGTGGGAGCGTTTGGTATAAGCTTTTCCACAGTTTTCGTAGTTGCAGCGGTAAGGCCTGGCCTCTGAGGATTCCCCTCTCCCAGTCCTTTCCTGAGGCCTGGAGTCCTGCTCTGTTGCCTGTGGAGCAGGTGTGGGCTGCATTCGGTAGGAATGGGCCTTCTTGGGAGTCTGGCTGACTCACAAGAGAGTTCTGAGATCCTAAACCCAGGAGTGACTGGGACTCAGCTGGGGGCATCCCAAGGTCATGGGTGTCTTGTCGGGGCAACATCTGAGCCACAGAGAGGAGCACCGCCTGGGCCTCCGTGGGAGGCATGGTTGAGGCCAATGCTGTTTCATCAGAAGGTGCTGTCAAGAGGCCAGGGTAAGGCATGGTAGGGCCCCCAGCATGGGACATCATTGGGATTCCAGTGGAAGCCGAGACTGGCAGCCCACTGGGGTGCATGCTTAGATTGCCACTGAAGGCTCCAGCCACTCCTGGAATATTGGGCTCAACTGTAGGCATTATCTGAGGCTCATTGAACATCGTTGTCTCTTGCTGAGGGGGAGACACTCCTTGACTGTAAATCACCGGGGAAGGAGGGAGACTCGCTTGGGGGCAGTAGCTCACACCATGCTCAGGCAGTACCATGCTAAACGGGGGCCCCTCTTCATCCACATTGTGCCCCGGCACCTCCACAGACACCAAGGGGGGCCCCAGCATCCCTGTGCTGTGAGGAAAGTGCTGAACGCTTGGTAGGCCATGCTTCCAAGAGGGGTGCACTCCAGAGCTTCCAGTAGATGAAGCCACGTTCAAGGTGGGCGCTGAGCTCTCGTTATCCTTGGGGAGAGAGACAATCAGGTGATTTTTACCCTTGCTCAAATTCCAGTTCCATATGTTCCTCCTCTTCATCCCCAGACCCCAACCTAATCCAGCCCTCTATCTCCATCTCTTGCTTGAATTCTCCTGCCTCCAACCGTTTTCCAGCTTGGCCTTTCTAACAGGTCCGGCTGATACAGGCCCCAAGAAAGCCTAAATGTAACTCATGCCACTTTCCCTCAGACATGTTTTTTGCTTTTTATTACATGCAAAGCAACAAAGAGAGCAAATAAAACATCCCATAACCTACACCTTCAACAAAACTCTGAGAAAATCTTCAAACGCTAAATATCGAGGCGGAGTTTTGCTCTTGGTGCCCAGGCTGGAGTGCAGTGGTGTGATCTCGGCTCACACAACCTCCACCTCCAGGTTCAAGCGATTCTCCTGTCGTAGCCTCCCAAGTAGCTGGGATTACAGGCATGCAGCACCACACCCGGCTGATTTTGTATTTTTAGTAGGAAACAGCTTTCTCCATGTTAGTTAGGCTGGTCTCAAACTCCTGACATCAGGTGATCTGCCTGCCTTGGCCTCCCAAAGTGCTAGGATTACAGGCGTGAGCCACTGCACCCGGCCCAAACTCCAAATTATACATAAAAGGGATGGGGGTTGTCCAGAAGTTAGGGGCAATACCTCTTGATGACTTGCATGAAGGGTAAGAAAGAGATTGGCAGTAGAAGGTCTTAAAGTAGGATAAGAGCCAAGAATCTTTTTTTTGTTGTTGTTGTTTTTGAGACGGAGTTTCGCTCTTGTTACCCAGGCTGGAGTGCAATGGCGCGATCTCGGCTCACCGCAACCTCCGCCTCCTGGGTTCAGGCAATTCTCCTGCCTCAGCCTCCTGAGTAGCTGGGATTACAGGCACGCGCCACCATGCCCAGCTAATTTGTTGTATTTTTAGTAGAGATGGGGTTTCACCATGTTGACCAGGATGGTCTCGATCTCTTGACCTCGTGATCCACCCGCCTCGGCCTCCCAAAGTGCTGGGATTACAGGCTTGAGCCACCGCGCCCGGCCTACATTTACAATTCTTTAACATAGTGTAAATAGTAATAAACTTAAGACTCATAAGCAATTCTAAATAATTTAGGTGCTTAATTAATTAGCCTTTTTATTTAAACAAAATCCAGTCTTGCATCAGTTAAAATGATATACTGCATGTTTATTTCTCACAGTGGTAAAATTGTGGACTCATGTTACTGTCTTTTAAACTCCTCACTCTGCAGGGGACGTTGGTGAAAAATTTTACTGTAGAATTCTGGGCCGGGAGGGGTGGCCTTGGGCAGGACTGGTTGTTGTAAAAATTGGTAAAGTCCAGGGCTTGTTGGAGACGAATGAACCAGAAGTGATGGGGACATAACGGAGACTTCGAGTGGAGGTGGAATAAAGTCAGACGCCAATTGTGTGACTCCAGGTGAGTGGCGGGCCCTGCTAGGGTGAAATAGTCTCTGGACCTGGGGACAGGGAAGAGATGGACATCAAAAAATGCCGTTATCATGGCTGATCCAATGGTGGTGGGTTATCAGAACTTATTAACATTAGTGTCACTAAAGTTGGTCTATGACCCTCCACTGCAAAATTGGCTGGCTTTTAAAAAATGCCACTGTGGCCGGGTGCGGTGGCTCATGCCTGTAATCCTAGCACTTTGGGAGGCTGAGGTGGGTGGATTACCTGAGGTCAGGAGTTCAAGACCAGCCTGGTCATCATGGTGAATCCCCATCTTAAAAAAAAAAAAATGCCACTGTGGGTAGACATTTTGATCTTTGTCGTCAGGGTCTGTATGGCCCCTGGGTCCACATGGTATAAAAGTAGGAGTATCTCTAAAATCTGTTGCTACCAGTGGAATTGCCCAATGGGGTCTGCTTCCTTGTGCAAACTTGGAAACTGCACCATCTTCATCCTGCTCCAGAAGGCCAGGCAGGGCTCATCCTGAGCTCTGGGATGGTACTTCAGGCCTAGCATTAACACTGGCGTGTTGCATCACTTCCCCGATAGTAGGTTATATGATCCCCTATTGAAGCAAGAAGACAAACTGGATGGTAGAGCAAGAAGTCAAAAAGAAATCTATCCAGAAGCCTGAGATGATGATGAGCAGAGGGAGAGGCAACAAGACTTAGGAGGCAGGCTAGACATGCTGGCTCATGCCTGTACTCCCAACAGAGACAAAAGGATCGTTTAAGCCCAGGAGCTCAAAACTAGCCTGGGCAACATAAGGAGACCTCCATCTCTACAAAAAATTTTAAAAATTAGCCACATGTAGTGGAGTGTGCCAGTAGCCCCAGCTACTCTGGGGACAGAAGTGAGACAATTGCTTGAGCCAAGGAGGTCTAGGCTGCAGTGAGCCAATATCAAGCCACTGCACTCCACCACAGAGCAAGACCCTGTCTCAAAAAACAAAATAAACAAACAAAGACAATTGGAAAAATACTTCCTCTGATCTCAGACCTCATTTCTTTTAAGGAAATACACTTTTGAAGTTTTGAGTTTGAAACACAGTTTAGACTTAATCATGAGAGATGTTGTGTAGGAAAAATCCTCAATTCAATTAATCTGGAACCCCTCCACCATAGTTTACTCCGTATGATATTAACCTCCTTTAAGTAGCCATCGGTATGAAAATGTCTTCAGTTTTAAAAGGCATTTTACCTCAGATGGGGTAAAAAAGTTTGCACCCCATCTGAGACCAGGGCATTCATACTGCAGAGAAACTATGAAGTTACCAAATGTGGGGAAACTCTTACTCACATGCCATCTCAGGGAACACAGAAGTGACACTGAAGAGAAACCCTGTGCCTCTAAGGAATACTGAAAAGCCTTTAGCTAGATTACGAATCTCATAAAGCAGTAGAAAATTCATGCTGGAAAGAAGCCAGTGAAAGCAGCAAAAACGTCACTGAATATTAGAAAATTTATACTGCAGAGAAAGTTTTGGGTGTAGTACGTATGACAAAATTTCCTCTCACACCGTATTCCTTACTCTGCATTTGAAAGGCCACACGCAGGTGAACCCTATCAATGTAAGAAATGTGGAAATAACTTGCACCAAAAGTAAATCCTTATTCAAAATGTACACTGGAGAGAAACCTTTCGAATGCAGGAAAGCTTTTGTTTAGATGTCCCGCTCAGTCAGCAGAGGATTTATGTGGGCAAAGCCCTTCTGCCTGGAAGGTATGTGGGAAAGTCTTCAGCCACGAGTCAGTTTCACTGAGCATGAGCATTTTCACACTACAGAGAAACCCTTTGAATGTCAGGAATGTGGAAAAGCCTTTACTAAAAGCAGTATCTCATTAACCATCAAAACGCTCATACCAGAGAGAAGCTTTGTGAATATAACAAATGTGGAAAATCCTTTTACCAGAAGGAAACTCTCCCTACCAGTCAGAAAATTCACATGGAAGAGAGACCTTTTGAGTGTAAAGATTGTGGGAAAGTTCTCACTAAGAAGTCAAACCTCATCCAACACCAGAGAACGTACACAGAAGCGAATCCCTTTGTGTGTAAGGAGTATGGAAAAATCTTTAGTGGAAAATCAAACCTTACTGAGCAACAGAAAATTCATATTGGAAAGAAACTCTTTAAATGTAATGAATGTGGAACAGCTATTGGCCAGAAGATGTACCTCCTAAGAAACCAAAGCATACACAGCAGAGAGAAATCCTGAGTGTAACGAATGTGGAAACATCTTCTGTCAGTGAATACCCCCTATTGTAGATGTCAGATTTCAATCAGATGATCAACCCTATGAACTCAATGTGTGTGGAAAAGCCTTGTCTCAGAGTTCATTTACCGTGCATGTGAGCAACCCCATGGTTTCCATGGCTGTGGGAAAGTGTTCCCCAGTTCTCAACTCTTGCTCTGTATTTGAGAATACACACAAGTAGAAAGCTTTATCAATATGGTGAACGTGGGAAGCTTTCAGCCAGAAGTTGCACCACATCAGACTCCAGAAAAAAATTAGCCAGGTGGTGCATGCCTGTAATCCCAGCTATTCAGGAGGCTGAGGCAGGAGAATCACTTGTACCTGGGAGGCAGAGGTTGCTGTGAGCTAAGAGCATGCCATTGGACTCCAGCCTGGGCAACAAGAGCGAAACTCCATATCAAAAAAAAAAAAAAAAAAAAAAAAGAAGTGACATCAGGATGGGAGGAAATATGGGACTATTTTAAAAAGTGATTTGGAGGTAATTTGTTCTCCAAGCGGGGGAAAAATAGACCATGAACTATACACAAAAGTAAAATCCACAGAGATGAAAAGCAGGTATTGAAAAAGCTATGTTCTAAAATGGTATGACTTCAGCAGTAGGAAAACATTCCTTGTAACAACTTCAGAAATACTTAGCAATTCTGCTTTTGGATGTGTATGCTCAGGAAATACGTACTAGGATATTTACTGTGGTTTGATTTGTAGTTGCCAAAAATTGGAAACACTGAAAAGGAGAAACTCTTGTGATGGAATGACATGCATCTATAAGTGCAGCACTTGAGATCCACATGTACTGACAGGAAGATCTCAGAATCATGTTGAGAGTGGGGGAAACTCAAGCTGAAGAATAATGCATATAGTACGACTTTCTGTAAATGTGTTTGGTGTTTGGTGTTATTTATTTGTTTAATTAATTAATTACATTTGAGACAGGATCTTGCTCTGTCACCCAGGGTGGCGTGATCTCAGCTAACTGCAACCTCCACGTCCAGGGTTAAAGCAATTCTCCCACCTCAGCCTCCAGAGTAGCTGGGACTACAGGTGCCTCTACCACACCGGCTAATTTCTGGTGTATATTTTGGTAGAGACAGTGTTCCATCTTGTTGGCCGAGCTGGTCTCCAACTCCTGTCCTCAAGTTATCCGCCCACCTCAGCCTCCCAAAGGGCTGGGATTACAGGTGTCAGCACCCACACCCAACCTGATTTTTTATTTATTTTTAAACAGAGGCAGGGTTTTGCTACATTACCCAGGCTGGTCTGGAACTCCTGGGCTCAAGCAATTCTCCTGCCTCAGCCTCTCAAAGGGGTGGGGTTATAGGTGTGAGTCACCATGTCCAGC